CACATTCTGTGCTCGGCAGTGCTGAGCTATTATTCCAGAATTTAGGTTCCTGAAACACGGGTCACTGCCTGTCACACTGATCACTGCTCCCCAGCACCTAAACTAATGCCAGGCACAAAGTGGGCATTTGTTAAAGAAACAAAGGAAGGCACAATAGGAAAAAAATGCCCTAACCTCACAGGACAGCTCTGGGGATTAACTCAGAGAGCTCAGCCCAGGCTGGTGCACGGTGCTGGGAGACCTTATCCTGACCTTGGCTACCGTCCTTCCAAAGGCTTCTCTGTGTGGTCCCCACTTTAATGATGTCCTAAGGGGCAGCTCCTTAGCTAACCCCGGCTTGAGCAACACAGGCTGACCTTCCCTGGGAGTAGGGGTGAGATCTATTCTCTGCTCTCTCAGTTTCCTGTGTCCTAAGATGGGAGAATAGGAGGGAGATGGAAGAACAGTTTTGATTCACTAAAAAAAAAAAAAAGCCTAAATTATTGACTACATTGGGAAAGGAAGCAAGAATCTGCCTGAGTTAGTCAAAGTGCTGAAGCAGTAATTATTTTTCAAAGAATAACGTTGGCTGCTTTCAGGTACACACAATAAAGCAGCTCAGACTCCTCAGACTGGACCCCGAAGACCTGGCCAGGAGGGAGCCCTGTTTTAACAAGCAGGTAAGAGCCCAACTAAATGAACAGATAAAATCCATTGGCTATTAAGGCACATAAAAGTGTTTTGCAGACTTTCCAGAGAAACACGACTGTGAGGAATTATCTTCATGGGGAACAGATAAACGAGGCCTTCCAGGTGTCCCAGAATTGATAACCAAGATTTTAAAATCCAAAATAACTACATGATCCAGTGATAGGGTTTGGCTGTGTCCCTACCCAAATCTCATCTTGAACTGTAGCTCCCATAATCCCCACATGTGGGATGGACCTGGTGGGAAGTAGCTGAATCATGGGGGCAAGTTTTGCCCATGCTGGTCCTGTGATAGTGAGTAAGTCTCATGAGATCTGATGGTTTCATAAAGGCAGTTCCCCTGCACACCCTCTCTCTCCTGCTGCCCTGTAAGACGTGCCTTTGCTCTTCCTTCACCTTCTGCCATGAATGTGAGGCCTCCAGCCATGTGAAACTATGAGCCCATTAAACCTCTTTTTCTTTAAAACCCAGTGTCTGATATGTCCTTATAGCAGCTTGAGAAAAGACTAATACCTCCAGCAATTCCACTTCTGGGTATATGCCCCCAGAATTGAAAGCAGGATCTTAAAGAGGTATCACTATGCGCATGTTCACAGCCTTACTCACAATAGCCCAAAGCATCCACCAATGGACAAATGGAGAAGCAAAATGTGGGGCGTACATACAATAGAATATGACTCAGTCTTAAAAAGGGAGGAAATTCTGACACATGCTACAACAGGGATGAACCCTGAGGACGTGATGCTAAGTTATACCAGCCAGACACTAAAGAACAAATCAATGCAAATTAATAGTTTTATAATAACAAAACAGTATGTGATTGCACTTACATGAGGTGCTTAATCAAAATCACAGAGACAGAAAATAGAAGGGTGACTGCCTGAAGCTAGAACGAGGAATTGTTTAATGGGACAGAGTTTCAGTTCTGCAAGTTTTAGAATTCTGGAGATGGCTGGGTGCGGGGGCCTATAATCCCAACACTTTGGGAGGCTGAGGTGGGCAGATCACTTGAGGTCAGGAGTTCAAGACCAGACTGGCCAACATGGAAAAAACCAGTCTCTACTAAAAATACAAAAACTAGCCCAGTGTGGTGGCGGGCACCTGTAATCCCAGCTACTCAGGAGGCTGAGGTATGAGAGTTGCTTGAACCCAGGAGGCAGAGGTTGCAGTGAGGCAAGATTGCACCACTGCACTCCAGCCTGGATGACAGAGCAAGACTCTGTCTGAAAAAAAATAAAAGATAAAATAAAAAAAATAAAGTTCAGAAGATGGATGACAGTGATGGTTGCCTGGTAATATGAACATACTTAATGATACAGAGCTGTACATTTAAAAGTACTTAAGATGGTAAATTTGATGTTACATGTATTTTTCCACAATAACAAAAATAATTGGAAAAGCAGCCCACGACAGTTAGTGGATAGGGTGCGTGATGTCTGCCCCAGCACTAATGCGGGAAGCACCACATCACTGTCCCCGTCAGTAACCTCTCTCCATACCACTTAGCAAGGCTGGAGCACTGTCCCCATTTCACAGATGAGGAAACTGAAGTTGCAGGGAGGTGAAGCAACCGGCGTTGGTCCAATCACCAGGAAAGGGCACCGATGGGGCTTGTGTTTCACTCTTTCTGGCCCTGGAAGGGGGCCTTCATCTGAGGAAGACGGATGACCACATCCCCACCGCAGGAAGACACAACCTCAGCGCCAGCAAGCTGCTTCCCCGGGGAGAAACCTGGAACTGACATTTGAGCCACAGGAAGGTTGGCAACGGCAGCTGAGGGAGGCTGGTGTGGCCTGGCCCATCCCTGAATACAGTTACCCTATGGCTAACTTCCAGCTGTTCTCAGCCCAGAGAACCAGTCAAATATCCAAGGCCATGGTGCTGGTGCCGCAGCCACAGTAACTGTTGCAGCTCTGACTGCCCCGGGGCGCATTTTCCTCCATTCTCAAGAGGGTGAAAAAGAGGATCTGCTACCATAATTCTTAGTTACGCCACTATGCCACCCTAAACGAGTAACTTCCCCTTTTTCTCTTTCCCTTGGGTTCCCCAGCTGTAAAATCAAGGCTTGGACTTGATAAAGAGAGTATGTTCACCCCCTACCTTCCAGGAACACCTTCATATGCCTGGCATCCTGCGACACAGAGAAGAACGGGATGGAGTTCTGGCCAGGGCGTGTGAAAAGCCTGGACCTGAGCACATCAGGCAGACCTGGGTGTGGCTCCCAGTCCCTCCACTCTGGCCTCAGTCTACCCATGTAAAAAATAAGGCTAATGGCGTCTCTCATGTTATCACTGAGGCATTACATGAGATATTGGCTGGGAAGCCCTCAGCACAGCACCTGCCAGGTAGGAAGCCCTCACCAGCATCATTAAAACCTTCACAGGCAGCATGGGAAGCTCTCAGGGCTGGAAGAGGTGGGGCCCGGAGTCTGGCACCACTTCTGCAATCACTGCTAAGTGACTTCACGCAAGTCACTTTCCAGTGCTGCCTCTCTTCTTTTTCTTCTTTTTTTTTTTTTTTTTTTTTTTTGAGACAGAGTTTCACTTTTGTTGCCCAGGCTGGAGTATAATGGTTCAGTCTCAGCTCACTGCCACCTCCACCTCCTGGGTTCAAGAGATTCTCCTGTCTCAGCCTCCCAAGTAGCTGGGATTACAGGCGCCTGCCACTACACCCAACTAATTTTTCTAGTTTTAGCAGAGACGGAGTTTTGCCATGTTGGCCAGGGAGGTCTCAAACTTCTGATCTCAGGTGATCCACCTGCCTTGGCCTCCCAAAGTGCTGGGATTACAGGCGTGAGCCACTGCATCTGACCAGCATGTCTTAGTTATGGCAAAGTGGTATGATATCATGGCCTGACCTCAGTCAAGTTTTATTGACTGGGTGGCTGAATTTCGTCATTCATCAAATGGGGAGAAGCCAGTCCTGGTCCCAATTCATTGACCACAGACATGTTTATACCGTGAGGCTGGGACAGCCGTGCCACTATAAACATAGGCCTGACCAGTCAGAGAGACGCTCCTGGGAGGAGAAGGGTCAGGAATGCCCAACCTCTTGGAGCCTCAGTTCCTTGGCTTAAAGCATGGAGACAATGATCTCTAAGGCTGCCATGGTTAAGTGGCATGTCCTTTGTAGTGGACAGGTACCTGTGTTCAGAGCCTGGTGCACAGGGAGGGCTGACTAAGTATGTTCTGAACTGCCAATTGCACCGTGGGGATGTGTTGTGCTCAGAAGAAACCAAATACCCAGACAGAAAGCCACACCTTAGGCACACCCCAATGGTTCCACAGAGACCCTGAGGTCAGGCTGATCTCCAGGGACACCTGACACAACCAGAATGAGAAAATACACACATTGGGCGTGGTATTGAAAACCTCAAACGTGGTATTGATCTACCAGCCAATGCTTCCAGCCCCTCTCCCATCCTTCCCCTTCCTTCCAAAGACAATGCAAGATTCCTCACCTTGGGACGGATGGGGGAGCATTCGTGAAATAAGAGATTCAAGATGAAAGGTGGAGTTGTTTTGGGGTAAGGAGATAGAATAGAGGAGTAAGATGTAGAGCACAGAATGGGTCCCAAACCGGGGACACCTGTGCACCACATGGTAGAGGTTCAGGTGACACCATCTCAGCCGCCTTCGGCTGGTCCAGGAGTGTGCCTCTCCTTCAGGGAGACCACCAGCTCGCCATATGCTTAGGCTTTCTGCCCCACCCTCCAGGACCCAGCACTGCATGGGACACACCCGAGCTTGGGGCTAATGAGTCCAGGACTTAGAGTTCCTGAAGTTCTGACCCAGCCCTCAGCTGAGAGAGCCCAGCCTGTTTTCCTGAGAGCCTGTTCTTGGACACGGCTGAGCTGCACCCCCTGGCACGCCCTGCAGCCCCGAGTAGAGATGGACAGACTTCATTTCTGGGCCAGTAAACCACAGAGAAGGGTGGTTTCAGTTTCCCAAGTGGCGCCAAGAACATCAAGCCTTTGCTTCCGTTCCCTACCCTCACAGGGTCCCAAGCCCGCCCAGCGCGACAGCATTTTCCCTACACACGCCCCACCGTTCTGGCTAGCTCTGTGGGGCTGAAACGGGTGGTGTCTCTGTCCTGCTTTCATAGGAGGTGACTGGTTCCTGCTTCTCTGGACAGCACTCAAGCCAGCTTCTGTCTGGGAGCAGCGGCTGGGAGTGAGGACCTGGCTGAGACCACTGCCTTCTCTCCCCTTGCCCCCAATGATTATGTAATAATCTACTTAAACCAATGGAAAGAAGAAGGAAAAAGAGAAGATGAGATGAGAAAGGGAAAGGAGAGCCACATCCTCTACTTGCCTGGACATCAAACTCTTGCAGGAGGCCGGTGATGCTCTGTGGAAAGACAAAAAAAGATTAATTTCATCCGTTTCCTCTATAAGAGAAAGAATGTTGGAACACATGGGCCTTTCTACACCCTGAATCTGTACCTACACTCCCTCCTTTGTGGGGTCTCCCTAAGTTCTCACAAAGGCAAACTTTCTTTTTGTCTCAAAATAGAAGTCCGGCAGAAAAGCAGACACATTAACTGGATTGCTGACAATAGCCTTAACAGATAAAAATCTGAAGGTCTAAGCTGACCACAAGCTTGAGAGATACAGAAATTGGATAACTGGTTATTAACTGGTCTCCTTGGTTCTACCCATGTGTTACACTTTTAAATCTCAAACCTGACCACATATGCTCCTCCTTACATTTTTTTCCATGGCTGCTGTCATCCGGACCTGGATTAAATTTCAATCTCTGTTAGTAGAAGAGGAGAGTGGAGACTTCTAAATATTCTGAGTTTCAGGCCAGGCACAGTGGCTCACACCTGTAATCCCAGCACTTTGGGAGGCTGAGGTAGGCGGATCTCCTGAGGTCAGGAGTTCCACCAGCCTGACCAACATGGAGAAACCCTGTCTCTATTAAAAATACAGAATTAGCTGGGGATGGTGGCACGTGCCTGTAATGCCAGCTGCTTGGGAGGCTGAGGCAGGAGAATCACTTGAACCTGGGAGGCAGAAGTTGCAGCAAACCGAGATTGCAACATTGCACTCCAGCCTGGGTAACAACAGTTAAACTCCGTCTCAAAAAAAAAAAATCTGAGTTTCAGCTGAAATTCTGTCTTTTACCAGAGCTGTCCATGGCAGGACAGGCCCAGGAAGACAGAGAAAAAGCCCATGTCCCCTGTGGACTGGTGAAAGTGTGACTTGGAGGACCAACTGGTGCCCTGGCTGGCCAGCATTTCTAAGAGATGTTGTTGGCATGTTTTCCTCCTGACCCAGAGACGGAGTCCCAACCCTCTGTGACTGAGCCCCAGCCAGACGCACCACAAACCCCCAGGAAAGAAGACAGCTCAGCAGAGTAAAACGCAAAAGTGGCGAGGGGAACAGAATAATGGAATGGACAGGGGGCAGGGACCGAAGACTAGATGGAAGCAGAGGCCCTGGTGCTCGGGATCCTACAAGCTCCATATCCCCTGGGCTGTGGGCAAGAGCATCAGGGAGTTTGGGTAAATTCAAGTGGAAGCAAAAGTGGTTGGCACCTACACCACTGTCCTGTGTGTGAATGTGTACTGGTGAGAAAGAATGAGAAAACCCCTTCTGTACAACACCAACCTTCAAAACGTTAGCAGAGTGCAGTGGTAACCTAGATTGAGGACAGACACGAGGAAGAACTTCCCAATAATTAAAGCCTCACTCCAAACACTTTGCTGAGTCAATCTAAGGACTTGAAAGAAACTTATTTCATCTGAACCTTGAGAGAAAGGGTATATATTCACTGAGAGATGGACTGGCATGTAACCCTGACATGACAAGCTCTTAGAGACATGTTTCACACATAAAATGTTCTATGATTTCTAGTAGGCTGCCTGAAACAAATAAATAATGTTGTGTTAAATGCATTTACCCTTGGACCCAGCAGTGCCACTTCTGAGAACTTTTTTCTAGGGGTGCACCTGCATATGTATGGAATGACTCACATGAAACATACAAGGGTGTACATTTCTTGCAGCACTGTTTGTAACAGCAGAAGGCTAGAAGACACGTGTCCACATGCTGGGCACTGGACAAATACATTTGATGGAATACTATGTACCTAAAAAGAGAAAAGCAAGTGGACTATGGACTGAACTTGGAAAGATCTCCCAGAAATGTGCAGTGAATAACGCAAAGTGTGGGATACTATTTTCACAGGGTCTTTTTTTTTTAAAAAGGGAGAAATAAGAACACAGTGATATGTATTTGTTCTACTTAGTTTTTGTTTGCTTGTTTCATAAGACTATGTCACAGAGCCAGAGTGAAGAGGACATGGATTTAGAACCTGCATTGTATACAGTAAGAGCTGGCACACTACAATCTGCCTCACCGCGTTTTAAATTTTTCCTGGAATACAGCAAGTACATTCACTCACATACTGCCTATGGCTGCTTTCTTGCTATAATGGCAAAGTTGAGTGGTTGCAACAGAGACCACGTGGCCTTCAATGCCTAAGAGATTTACTATCTGACCCTGTGCAGAAAAGGTCTGCAGACCCCTAGTGTGGAATGATGAGCAAGCATTCCGCAGCTTCCCCAGGCTTGGTTTCTTACTCTAGTTGTACCAGATATCTGCATGAACTTGGCCAATCTCCTTCCTGTCTGGAACCAGTTTTTCTTCTAATCTGCAAAATTGGGAAAAGAGATAGTTGCCTCACACATTTGTAAAGAAAAGTCCATGAAATTATGGACCTAAAACAGAGCAGCTACATGTAGAATCCTAAGAAAATTAAATGAACAATCTATTCACCAAAGGCAGCTGCCCTGGGTTTGATTCCATGTCCCACACTTTGTAACTATGCAATGAAGACAAATTAACCTCCCTAAGACTCAACTTCCTCCTCTACAAAATGAGGACAATCACAGAACCCAGGACCTGCGTGAAATAAAGCTGAGGTGCGGCTGGCCAAGAGGCAGGCACGCAGGATGTGGTCAGCGCATGGTTATCATTTTCCAAAGCATTTATTTGGCCTTAGACTGACTTCACTTTGGTCCCAAGCTTCTGCATTTTGTCATCAGAGGCAGTTATGAGGCTCAGCGAGAACTGGGATGTGAACATGTTTTAAGGCTACAAGGTCAACTGTGCAAATGTAAAGGGTCATTCATCATCAGAACAATCGGCCCAGGATGGGCCCTGCCAGCCCAGGCTATAGGACAGGGGCTTCTGCTTCCAAGAGGAAGGGCTATGTCGACAGAAGACAGTTGCCCAAAAAGAATAATAGCAAGTGAAAAAGTGACTATGCATTGCCCATCTCCTCCATGGCAAAGTTCTAACTGCTCCCCATGATTTCAGTCACTCCCTCCTCACTTGGCCCCATGAAATAAGTCCTAATATCACCACTTTACAGATGAAGAACTAGAACATGAAGAGACTGAGAGGTTTGCAAGTAGATACCAAGCTGCAAAGTGCCACAGCTTGGATTTAAACCCAGGCAATGCAGCTTTAATAAGAGCTGAGGCAGGCAGTCCCCAGGGGAAACTGGGCTCCATGTTGCATGTTCTATAACCACAGAATGCTAGATTGAGACGGGACTGCTGAGAAAACCTCTGGTTCAATGCCCTCACTTTACAAATGAGAGCACAAAGGCCCAGAGAAGTGGGCAAGGGGCCCAGCGCCCGATCCTATGGGACTTGAACCTGAGCCTCTCACAGCTTTGCATTCAGGGAAGCAGTGGACACGTGTTATGTGTGCATGCACGTGTGTCTGTGCATGCTGTGTACCCGTGCGTGCAGCATGTTTGTATGCTGTGCGTATGCTGTGTACATGTGTATTTGTGCAGTGTCTGCATTCTGCATGCCCACGAGTGCACGTGTGCACTCCGGTATGCCTGTGTGTGTCTATGGGTACACGTGCATGTGAGCGGGTAGCCAGGAAGATCTCCACTCACCTCCCCTTTCTCCACCAAAGGCTTCACCTCAGCCAGGTCTACGTCCTGCATCTCCCGGGACATGTCCCTGCTGTCACCTGCCTGCAAGGAGACAAAGGCCACAAGGTCAACACTTCCTGCTGAGAGGTTTCCTGAAGGAAGCAAATCTAAGGCCAATGGCAAGAAGGCCAGGCCTGCACTCTGCCCAGCAGCTTCACCTCCCTCATGGAACACTGCAGGGGACAAGGATGCCCCCTGTACACACGGCCCATGGACCCAACCCAGTCTTCCCACTGGGGCTGGGGCAGTAGATTTACTGAGAGGATATTCAGCCTCATGGAAACTACCTTCCCAATGAAATGGACGCATCAGGCTCACAAACATGTCCCCACACCAAGTTCAGGCCCACTCACCATACCCAGGATGCAGCTCACTGCATTCTAGAAAGGGACCAATATTGCTGATCCTAAAGTCAGGCAGCACCAGAGTGACAACAAAATGGGATCACAAGGTCACATGACCCTTATCATGTATAGGCATAGTACGAGCTTCAGCCTTACAGCTAGCCCTCACAGAAGGTTGGTGACGCAGACAAACAGATGCGCGTGCACATACACGCCCCCCACAACACACACACACCACACACAGCATAGGACTCCCAGCTACCTGCCGAAAGGGAAGAGGGGCAGAGGAAAACCTTAAGCCAAGAAGTGTGGCAGGCACTGAACACACAGCACAATTCTGTAAAAAAAAGGACCTTCAAGGCAAAAAGGACTTCCTGGACCAAAGCAGGGGATGCTCTAACACAGGGCAAGTGCAGAAGAGTAGGCTGCAAAACCAGACTGAGTCAGAGCTCAGGAAGACTCGGAATGCTGCCATTGACTCCCCGGGGTGCCAGGCTTGGGCAGGTGGTGATATCTATTAAGCATACTTCCAGGAGCTGAATCTAGGAACCAGAAGTATAAGCACGTATTCCTACAGATCAATAGTCAAGTTAGAAAAATTAAATGCCCACCAATCCCTGGGGTGAAGCATAATAAATGAAGAATAAGATCAAATACTACAGGCAGCAGCAGAGGACCGGGGCAGATGGGGTAAGTGACAAGAGGGAAGGGCCCAGGCCACCCACCCGGTGCACAGATCCAAACCTTCTGAATGGAAAATGCCATGAGAAACAGCCTGACCAAAGCCCTCACACGGCAGTTAGCTTCAGCGTGTGAACCCGGGCCCCGCACTGCCCAAGACCCCTTGGATGCCATGGTAGAGAGAATGCAAGTCTCTGAAATTTCTGCCTAGCCTCCTCTGAAGACCCAGGAACTCCCAAGAACCTGGTGAAACACCTCTTAGAGGTCAGCCGGCAAGTGCGGGCCTTCCCAAATCCACCCGCATCCATCCCTTCTGCCAACACATGGCATTCCGTGGGTGGATCCCACTCTCCACTGGGATGCTCTGGTCTGGGGCCCCAGTAGATAACCAGTCCCACAAAAATGCCTTTATGTAGACTTTGGAGTCTATGTTCCAGAACGTTCTGAAAACAAAGTCAGTTTTATATTTGTGAGCATTCCTGAGCAGCTGCCAGCTTGGAGGCAGGAGGCATGAAAGGCCTGGGTCTGTTAGTCTTGCTAATTCAGCAGGTTCATGGTCCCAAGACCCTGGCCTGTGGGACACCTCGCCTACACAACCTAGGGAGTCTTCCAGAAACCCAGGGCCCTGCCAACACCACCCCTCATTCTGAGAGTCAAAGGACTTCTCATTTCACAGGAGCTTCTTAGCATACCCTGCTCAGCAAAGCACTCCAGGGTGAAGTCAAGCAGCCCTCCCCGCGAGCTTCATGAGGCAGGTAGCTTGCCTGCCTTTTCTTTTCTCTACCTCTAGCTCCCAGCGTGAGACTCCTAGATGCAGAGTCAGGTTGCAGCTTCCTCTGAATAAATGGGCACTGCAGCACGCCAGCCACGCTTTCAGTGAAATTCACTTTCAAACTGTTGCTAATCCTGAAGAATGCAATGTCTTGAAAACAAATTCTACATTTTTTTTTTTTTTTTTTTTGAGACGGAGTTTCGCTCTTGTTACCCAGGCTGGAGTGCAATGGCGCAATCTCGGCTCACCGCAACCTCCGCTCCCTGGGTTCAGGCAATTCTTCTGCCTCAGCCTCCTGAGTAGCTGGGATTACAGGCACGCGCCACCGTGCCCAGCTAATTTTTTGTAATTTTTAGTAGAGACGGGGTTTCACCATGTTGACCAGGATGGTCTCGATCTGTTGACCTCGTGATCCACCTGCCTCGGCCTCCCTAAGTGCTGGGATTACAGGCAAATTCTACATTTAAAAGGACTCAACAAATGCTGTGGTTCAGCCCAGTTTGGTCAGTTCTCTTTGGCTTCCAGAAACTGTGATCACATTAGGATATAGTGTCAGCTCCACCAGCTCTCTCCTTTAGAACAGAACAGGGAGAAATGTCCACCTTTCTCGTTTCTTTAGCTGGTGAAACCCCTTTACCCTACTTTTTCTTCCTGCAACTTAGCTCCCGAGACCACACGAGGCAATGGGTTGAAAACTCACTGTGTCTCCTAGAAATACCAAGTTCTTGAGCATCTGCTATTGGGAGCTGGTGGGACCTCTCACCCAGCCACCTCCGAGCTAAGGCCTTTGGGAAACCCAGAGATAAAGCTACTGAGTATGATCACAGGGCGCATCCAAAGTAGGGGGGATTTTATCTCCCCAGGGATAGTTGGCAATGTCTGGTGACATTATTTATTATCTCCCAAAAGATTAGATGATTGATTGTGAACCATTTGGGAAGTGTCCCAGACTCTGCACTAGTCTGGGGTGACTGTGGGGGCTGCAGGCTCCGGGGCAGGCTGCATGTTGGTCACGCCCTGCAAATTCCAACGCTGCCTGAACCAAGGACTGCAGAAGGTGCTTTCTGTGAGTTGAACCGGCCAGCCTGCAGGGCAGGAGGAGAACGGCTCCCTCACCTCAGTTCCCCCAAGTTGGGCCAGTCAAGCAGCCCTCACCTTGTCCCTGATACCTCAACATTTCAAACTATTCCCTTTTCTGCAGGAGCTTTTGTTCAAAGGAAGTCACATAAGAAAGTTCAACATACAAAAATGTTAAAAAATAAAAATAAATTTTTTTAAAAAAAGCCAAGGTGCTTCGGCTGAAACCAGGGCAAAGGGCCTGAGACCCGCTCTACCCCAGGACTCGGCTGCCTACAATCTGCCCATCCCCAGCCCCCATGCCTCCAGGCTGGCCTTCAAAAATATCTGAGTTCCAGGAAGCAGGCTGGAAAACTCAGGATTTATTCAGAAGTTTCTTCCCACATAGGTTCCATGTGCCCAACACGGAGCTAAGAACATAAATAACAGCAGCTATGGTGCCGAGACCAGTTATGGGACCCGTCTGGGGATCAGAAGCAAACAGACACAGCTCCTGCCCCATGGAGCTCACAGTCCCAGGGGACAGGGGCTCCCTCAGGTTCGCTCATGAGGCTGCGTCCTGGCTGTGTCCACTGTCCTGTCTGTCCCCTTGGAGGGCAGGGAAGATGTTGTCTTCACCACCACTGTACCTCTTGGACAGAGATCTCAGCTCAGCACTGCTGACATTTGGGCTCCATAAGCAGCCTCTGCTTTAGGGGCTGCCCTGAGCATGGAAGGAGGCTCTGCAGTGTCCCTGGCCTCTGCCCACCACTTGCCCACAGCATACCTCCCAGGCTGTGACCAGCAAAAGAATCCGCAAACGTTGCCAACGTCCCCTGGTGCAACATCCACCCACCTTTGGAACAGCTGATTTTAGTAATTCCTAGCATGTAACAGTATCCAGAAAATGTCAGTTGGATACATTCTTAATCTAGTGCAGGTGCACACACACACATTCAAATGCACTCACACATTCTCTCTCACACTGACATACTTGCAAACTCACTTTCGCTCAGTCTCACACTCACATACTTTCTCACACACTCACACATTCTCACACTGATACACTCATGGACTCTCACAGTAACAGTCATCAAGACTCACACACACTCACACACACACATTCTCACATGCACTTACACGCACACCCACGCACCCCGCCACCTTCATTCACGGAGGAGGAGGCTGGACCCAAGCGGCGGCCGGCTGTCCTGAGCTCACCCGGCTGGCTGCAGCACAGAGGCTGGAGAGGAGCCAGAGCTGATGCTCACACTCTTCCTTCACTCCACTCGTTCCCAAAACATTTTTCTGGGATTCAAAGTCACCACCGAGTGGAAGGACCCAGTTCTAGCAGAAGACTGTATTCTGGTGTCTGAGATCTCTGTCTGACAGCAGGAAGTGGCAGGTGATATGTGACCTGGTTTGGGGGCTCTGGCTGGTGCCTCCACTCCTGCTCCCTCCCCGCAGGGCACCAGAGGCCCTCAAGGCTTAGCAGGTGGGGCAGGCGGAGCCTGTCCCTGGGGTCGAGGTACTTGCTGGACTCCAGTGCCCCCTGCCTCATGCAAAGTCCTAATCACCGAGCCTTGGGACCCACTAGAAAGCATTAAATTGGTCCTCTAGCAGGTGTGGTAGCAGGCAGGGCCACACGCAGCACACCAGGGGACCTGGGGCTGACTCCTAGCCCACCTGCCCTGTCTCTGCAGTGGCTTGGGACTGACAAGCCGTGTCTCCATCTCTGAGGCCATCTTTGCTCCCTAAGAAACACAGAGGAAACCCCTCCAGCAGATTTCCTTCAGCTAAAACCCGGCTTAGCGCCAGAAACAGGGCTCCAGGTCATATCTCCACTTCTGTCCCCATCCACCTGCCTGGAAGGAATTCTGAGAAGACCAATGCCAGAGAGGAGGTAGTGGTAGCCAGGAGCCAGGGGGGAGCCTGGCAGGCCAGATGCTGGGGTCACCATTTATTAGCTCTGTGAACCTGCACAAGTTACCGAATCTCTTTTTAAAACTTTATTCTCTTTTAGAGAGACAGGGTCTTGCTAGGTTCCCAGACTGGTCTCAATCTCCTGGGCTCAAATAATCCTCCTACTTCGGCCTCCTGAGTAGCTGAGATCACAGGCATGTGCCACCATAACTGGGCTACCTAACCTCTTTGTGTCAGTTTACTGGTCTGTCAAATGGGCAACGATT